GTATGAGAAGTTACGCCTATTTTAAGAAATGACACCCGAATGACGCCAAAGCATGTCGGATGCGATCATACCAGCACTAAAGCACCGGATCCCATCAGAACTCCGAAGTTAAGCGTGCTTGGGCGAGAGTAGTACTAGGATGGTGAAGTCCTCGTGTTGCATCCCTCCTTTTTGTCTCTCTCTCCCCCCTTTTGACTCGCGCCGCTGCGTCCATCGTGTTGTGTCGCCCCTTGGGCGGCGAAGCTGGGGAGAATCGGATGTAACATTTTCTGTAGATGTCCGTGGATATATCATTTGCCTGATTCCGAGTCCGTATGAGAAAGTTACGCCTATTTTAAGAAATGACACCCGAATGACGCCAAAGCATGTCGGATGCGATCATACCAGCANTAAAGCACCGGATCCCATCAGAACTCCGAAGTTAAGCGTGCTTGGGCGAGAGTAGTACTAGGATGGGTGACCTCCTGGGAAGTCCTCGTGTTGCATCCCTCCTTTTTGTCTCTCTCTCCCCCCTTTTGACTCGCGCCGCTGCGTCCATCGTGTTGTGTCGCCCCTTGGGCGGCGAAGCTGGGGAGAATCGGATGTAACATTTTCTGTAGATGTCCGTGGATATATCATTTGCCTGATTCCGAGTCCGTATGAGAAAGTTACGCCTATTTTAAGAAATGACACCCGAATGACGCCAAANCATGTCGGATGCGATCATACCAGCACTAAAGCACCGGATCNCATCAGAACTCCGAAGTTAAGCGTGCTTGGGNGAGAGTAGTACTAGGATGGGTGACCTCCTGGGAAGTCCTCGTGTTGCATCCCTCCTTTTTGTCTCTCTCTCCCCCCTTTTGACTCGCGCCGCTGCGTCCATCGTGTTGTGTCGCCCCTTGGGGCGGCGAAGCTGGGGAGAATCGGATGTAACATTTTCTGTAGATGTCCGTGGATATATCATTTGCCTGATTTCGAGTCCGTATGAGAAAGTTACGCCTATTTTAAGAAATGACACCCGAATGACGCCAAAGCATGTCGGATGCGATCATACCAGCACTAAAGCACCGGATCCCATCAGAACTCCGAAGTTAAGCGTGCTTGGGCGAGAGTAGTACTAGGATGGGTGACCTCCTGGGAAGTCCTCGTGTTGCATCCCTCCTTTTTGTCTCTCTCTCCCCCTTTTGACTCGCGCCGCTGCGTCCATCGTGTTGTGTCGCCCCTTGGGCGGCGAAGCTGGGGAGAATCGGATGTAACATTTTCTGTAGATGTCCGTGGATATATCATTTGCCTGATTCCGAGTCCGTATGAGAAAGTTACGCCTATTTTAAGAAATGACACCCGAATGACGCCAAAGCATGTCGGATGCGATCATACCAGCACTAAAGCACCGGATCCCATCAGAACTCCGAAGTTAAATGTGCTTGGGCGAGAGTAGTACTAGGATGGGTGACCTCCTGGGAAGTCCTCGTGTTGCATCCCTCCTTTTTGTCTCTCTCTCCCCCCTTTTGACTCGCGCCGCTGCGTCCATCGTGTTGTGTCGCCCCTTGGGCGGCAAAGCTGGGGAGAATCGGATGTAACATTTTCTGTAGATGTCCGTGGATATATCATTTGCCTGATTCCGAGTCCGTATGAGAAAGTTACGCCTATTTTAAGAAATGACACCCGAATGACGCCAAAGCATGTCGGATGCGATCATGCCAGCACTAAAGC